AAGACTTGCATTTATAGTAAAATAGTGATTGATCAACCCTGGGTCGTTCAAATCCTGTATAATCGAAAACGCTATAAGTGAGCAAGCGAGAGAGAGAAAGAGAGAGAGAGAGAGAGAGAGAGTGTGTGTGTGTGTGTGTGTGTGTGTGTGTGTGGCGCGTGTTTTATCACGTGTGTTTGATCGCAACGTGCATCCCGTAATCATCCGTGTCGAATGGAGTTGCGCCGCTCCTGCCTATCTTCTGTATTCGTCCCGTGATTTGATAACTTTTTTCTTTTATAACTTGAAAAATAAGCTGCGGACAAAATTTTTGTAAAGGAAAAATCGTCTCAGAATTAACTCAGGAATACGTCTGTGCAAGGACACCTGGGTTGTTCTGAATCACCCTGTATATAATAATTTACTTTAAAGTTGTAAAATTAAATAAACTTTTGAAAATATAAATTATATTATATATTATATATTAACACATATTTAACAAAGAACATTTTTGGAGATATAAATTATAAAAAATTGGATTTAAAAATAAAAATTTTGAGAATATAATATTCAATATAATTTTCATGTACATGAGAATATATTTTTTAATTAAGTTTTATTGTTCAATGTTTTTATAAAAGAGTTAATTTTTTCTAAATATCAGCTCTAGAAATACCAGTTTTTAAATAATTTAGGAATAAATAATTTATTTCCAACATTATGAATATAATTATGTTAAAATGAATTAAGTAATAATCTGCAAAATATTTTGGTAACTTCTTCACTACAAGAATAAGTGATAATATTACTTTGAAAGAATCTCTCTCTCTCTCTCTCTCTCTCTCTCTCTCTCTCTTTCAAAAACTTAAAGTCTTTTGTCCTCTATAACTGACGTTGAATTGTTTTCGCTGTTTTGGACGAAGATGAAATAAAGACAAAAAGATCACACAATAGAATAGAATGCAAGGTATTGTAAAATATCGGCCTCGGCCTCGATTTTCCACACAGACAATGACGGCGGGATTTTGTCCGAGGATATCCTCGAATTTCAAGCCTGTCTTCCGCGTAGCCGACGGCTATTCCGCTTCGTGTCGTGTATCGAAGGACCTGGCATCAAGGTGGCCAGGGTGATCCAGAAATGGAATATAATCAGTCCGGGTAGGGTGGGAGGGAAAGAGACGAGGCGCGGAACGGAAGAGGAAGAGAGAAAGGGTGTGAGAGGGCAAGAGAGAGAGAAGAGCGTTTCGCTGGGTGGATTGGAGGGATGACAGCCTCGGGCTCGTGAAACCCTCAGGCAACGCGGATATTGAGTTCATGGTAACCATGGAAACGGGGCCCGAGGGCACGACGTTTGTGCGCTTTATCCCTTATTCCCGCGGTTACGTGATCAACGCGGTCCCAATGAGCTCTCTTAGTTCGCATCTCGCGTGCGCGATTTCGTCTTTGCATAGTCGGTATTTACACTGATTGAGACACATATTTGTCTTTAGTTTTATATCGTTTCGTTTAGTTTTTTATAATAGTTGTTTATATAAAACAATAATTTCGTAAATTACATTTTACAACTTTACTATTTTTTCCATTTTTTAAAATAAAAACACATTTTTTTAAATTTATCTATTTTTGAATAGCTGCTTGAATTCCAATCTGATTATTAATATATATGAAATAATTCGTATATTTATGCATTCATATTTCAACGGTTTTTCTTTTCTACGTTGGTCAACAGTGAATTCGTTATTTTTGATGTTGCAAAGATAATGGAGCAGTGGTACAGAATTAATAAAAGTTTTTCTGTCTTATAACAAATTCTGATCTCCATGTTATGCCAGCAATTTTGTATAACTAATAATTTTATTGTACAGAGTAAAATTCTTTTGCTTCGGGCGTGACGCAACCTCTATCGAGAATTGATTGCAAGCGACAATAATTTCGCAGTCTATACTTTTATTCGTTTCTCAAATAGCAAAGCTATTGTCTGTTTTGTAGAGAAAAATTTAAACTGCATTGTTAACGACACTGCTGTACATTTTATCTTTCGGAATAGTGATGATTAAACTTGATCCATATAAAATAGTATAAAAAAGTCGCTGCTGATAGAACAAATAAAGATGATATCTATCTTGTTAATTTTTTACCTTTGATATTAAAGGAGATTAATGCATAAGAATTAATGAGAGAGATTGCTATACTTTCCTGAAATATAAAATAAACATTTTATTAAATCAGTTGGAATGATACTTATAAGATTTCTTAGCAGTTATATTTCGTTTCTTAATTCTTAATAATTGAAACGTCGTTTAAAGGACACCTATAATTTTAACGGTGCTTATCTCAGAAGAACTTAATATTTTTCTCCTGCTGCTTTCTTCTCGTCTTCGTGCTGGATTATATCAGATTATCTCGATGAAAACTTAAATTTTAGCTAACTTTCAATATAATCGAGGTGATGTGTGTGTGTGTGTGTGTGTTTGTTTCTTTGTTTGTTTGTGTGTGTGTGTGCGTCACTCATCTTTCGTTGTCGTAGCTGATTCTTTCTTATATCATGTGTATAATGTGAGATTTATATTTATAATATATTCATATATATTTATGTCTATGTGTATGTATATACACTTTTATTCGCGGTATTTACAGTAATTAGTATGGCATTTAAATACATATAGGTACACTTTATTAAATAATAACAATGTTAAAAATCGGCGCATTCGATATTTTTAAACGCAAATCGCTGATCGTAACACGAGGAATGAACAACGATGTTTACAATTGCGCGTTCCATTCCTGATAGTATTAAAAGCATGCAGAAGACAATATGATATATTGTTGATTCAGTTTTTAAGCTGCGTAATGGCTATGCCTTTCATTTCGATGAGACGTGCATTTTTACGAACGATGAACGAAAAAGAGGACACAGAAGTGCGTGTGCGATTAATGTTATGGCTTAGGCTTTGCTGTAGATCACATGATATATCGTTAGGCTTGGTATATACTGTTCAGTCATCACTTTTTAGATCTGACTTACAATCAGTGTGTGATAGTTATCATAAAGTATAATCGAATAAAGTAATGTATATTTTATCACATTTATTTTTGAAAATATCTGCAATGATTTATATAATTTTTATCGCAATGAATAATAGTCTATTTAAATCATATTTATAATTTGTTTCCACAAGAGAACATATCTCGGTTCGCGCATTAGACAGTAAAATGGGAGTAAAATGGGAGTCGCTTTTTAATTTTTTTATATAAATTATTAAATTTATTATATAAATTTACGACTAATAATTTGCAGTTTGCGCCGCGTCAATAATTTTACCAATCGGAATGAACAATTAATTATCCTCTGCTATGTCAGCCATCCTGGACCAAGTCAGAAATATATATAAATAATTTTTGTAATTTACGGTCGCGTAAAGATTGTTTTTGTTTGATAAAATTATTTTTTTAAATGTAAATTAACATAAATTGTTCAACTTTTTTACATTTGTATTGACGGAATTTCCTTATTTCTTCTTTGGTTCAAAATGTTTGACATGAATTGAGAAACCTAAATCGAAGACTCCGTACCGCCACATGTATTTTGGCATCAAGTTGCGATTACGGTCGTCAGCCTTCTATCCGTGTATCGAGATGTTTCGTGTTTCGTCAGAATAACCATATTATCCGCGATGCAGTCTTGAGAAATTCTCCTGGACACTCACTCCAGATCGTAATCATGCTGCAGATAGCGGATCGACCGGGAGATCGTTTTGCGCTGCTGCGCCGTACTCCGTCAAGTGTTGACGGCCTGCCTGATGAACAGGTACTCCGAGAACTGCTGGCCCTCGACACCGCCACCGTTGCTCGCCACCACCCGGAAGCCGGCGTTCAGCAATCTGGTGATCGCCTGAACGGAGTTCAACTTGCAATAACCGTTCAGCGGGAACCGGATGACGTGACGGGCGTCCTGTTGGTGCCAGGCGACACCGGAACGCGCGTCGATCACCGCCTGTGTGGTTTCCGGAAAGACCTCGTCCAGCAATGCCCGTCCACCCGATAGCATCACCCGCTCGCCTAGATCTGGACTGACGTGTAATGCCACGCACTCGTAGCTGCAATTACCGTCGTTGCTGCGCATTTTTTCGGAATCGCGATTGCACGGCGCGGTAGTGCAGGCGGTGCCGCGACCGCCGAGCTGACCAGAGGGCGGAGGACTCGGCGAGGACGTGGTCATCGTTGTCGAGCCGTTCTTTATGCGCTCTTTTTTCATTTGTTCTAATTGTCGACACATCGCTGAAAAAAAGATACGGTTAGATTTAGGGAGAGAGGCAGGATTATGAGAAAAGGAGTGGGTCATTATTTATCATAGATCGTTCGATTCGCGATATTGATAATTAAATCATAGAAGTTTGTGAGATTTTATCTCTAATAATATTATAGTTTTATTTTGGTCATAAATGATTTTGGTAAAGTTTAAAAGTATTGGGGAAAACAGAATTTTGTACGTAAATTTGATTTTTATTGGAGTGAAGTGTGTATACTGATGAAAGAGAATACAATTTGTCTCATTTTTATCTTTTACTTAAAGTCTTGAGTTATTACTGTAATTCAGTAAACAACTGTTTCAGAGTTCGTTATTACTATTTCATCGCGCAGGCAGCTGTAAGTCGGTCGAGAAAATTAGGAGAGAAATGATATATCGGTATAATACGATATCGCTATTTATTAACTTTCTCTGTGGTGATCTTTTAGCAACCACAGAAACCGCTATGATCTTAATATTTCACGATAGAGAGTTAAGTTTTTTTCGAATACTATGGTACATGAATCGAAATAGCTTTTAGAACATATGATATATCGAACAAAGGGATAAAATGTGTATTTTAAAATTTTTATGTAATAACAGAGAATTATGAAATATGATAGAAAAAGAATTAAAGTAACTTACGCGCAATATCGAAGTATCGCGCTTCCTCCAGCAGCAAATCTAGGTCGGCGAAGTTGTCGGGTATCAGCAGCCGGGAATTTCGCATAAAATTCAGTATATGCCGGAACATACCGCCGTCTCTATCGATGAAGTAATGTTGTTTTAGCGAGTCCAGAACGATGGGGATGCTGCCATTAAACAATTTTGCTAGCCTGGATTCTGGATATCTGGAAAAAACATCATAATGCATATTTTGTAAAATTATCATATTTGAAAGTCGTAAGCTTTAGCGAACAACTTGTAAATAGTGATCATTCGTAAAAATGCACGTAAGAAAATATTCGAGAAAGTAATATTGCACTTGATTCACGTTATTTTAACTTTGAAATTTTGGTGTGACCAAAGTACAATTATAATTAATATTGTTAATTGTAAGATAAAATTGGCGATGTCCGAAGTTAAGAACTTAGTATAGAGAGAAGAAATTAGTATATTAATTTTGCAGGGATTTATACCAGATATAATGACATGGAAATTATATTTTCTATCGATCAGCGGTTAACCGAGTGTGTGCAGGTGCTGATACTTTGATCACCTGCCGAAAGCGCTTCAGGTAGCCACATGCAGTTTTAGCGAATGACGGTTCGGTACAAGCAGCTGTTCATTTAATAAATTCCAACTCAGTGCGCTACTTGCTCAAGTTTAATCAGTAACGTTAGAGCTATTACGATCGAGGAAGGATCGAGTAAAGTGTATATGAACGTGTCTCTTGATTATATTAATATACGATATTATTTTAAACAAGGAATCATTCTGCTATGAATAAATAATTTATTCATAACAATTTGCTTTTATATGAAATATCTTCGCGCATCTATCGTTAGCAAAAATACTAATGTTCAGAAATTTGAATATTGTGTAATATTGGGATTATTTTCTAAAACATAGATTTAATACCGAAATGATTAGAAAGCAAGTATACGAGAGAAATCATATTTTCAATTAGAAAAAATGGAATTATTTAATAAAATCTATGAACCCATTCATCATTTATTGGAAAAATTTTATTTAATTAAAAAATTGGTTAGAAAAAAAATAACAAAATAGAAAAACGATATTCTGTTACGCGTGAATGAGGACAGTAAATTTGCCTGCTTTGCAAAGGCTTAGGATAAAATGTGCGTATGAAATCTTTTGGTACTTTAGATATGCAGATGCACGCGTGCTTGTTTTTCTCATAAATGAAGCAGCAGCAGGCCCATGCACGTATCACTTTTTCCGGTTTCTTTAGAAAGTATCCGTGACATTTTCGAACGCATTTCACGACATGTTTGCGAACACAGCATCATTCAAAGTAGGCTGCAGCTAATCTTCTTATTACATATTTCCACGTTACCGTTAAGATTTCTTTCCGTACTTTGGTATTATATCGCAAAGAGATAATGAGATAGTGTGATGTTTTGTTATGTGCTTAAGCTCACTATAAATTAAAGTGAGAAAGCTAGTAAAAAAAGCTGGTGAAAGAAGCTAGTAAGAGGATTACAATTCTTATTCTTTTATAAAAATTTAATTAAATGTCTAAAACCTTTATTATATAAGAAATAATATTAAAATATACATGTTTGAAAATATTTTAATCATAATTCAGATTTGCTTACTCGCAATCTTCTTAAATAATCACCGTTTATCTCCCGTATTAATTTGATAAAGAATTAATTTTATTCCAAAATCTTTCACAATATATCATTTTAGTTCTCTAGCATTATTTTATTATCTCTTTTCTTTATTATCCCTTCATCATTATTTAATGCAACTAGCTACAGCGAAGAAGATTGATAAATTTTTTATTTTTTACACAATGTTTGAAATTAATTTTATGAGATGAAAAATTCTCCCTTATCGTTTATTATTAAAGTCAATGACGTAAGAATTCGAAAACTTCGCGTAATAATAATAATAATAATACTGCAATCTCATAAACAAATCACACCCATAGTATCCGCGTTAATCAGCTTCACGTACGCGCTAGCTTGCATGTGCTCTCGGACGTGCCGAGAGCGGTGTCGTGTTCTGCGTGCACAGCCGAAGGTCGTCGTAATTTAGCATATAATAGACGAATGCTCTGGGAAAAGGACGGGGTAAAAGAAAAGGGACGAGGGTACGCAACGGGGAAAAGAGGATGGATAGGAGATAGGATGACTCTGAGGACCGCGGAAGGGCGGGAGGGAGGGAGAC